TGAGGTTGGCTTTGGACTCCTAATTCTTCTGTATCTGGTTTCTAAATACTGGAACTACACGTGTTCACCTCTACACCCATGTCTTTTTATGTTTCTTTATACAGAGGCCTGTATAGCCTAGACTGGCCTCAATTGCATGGTCCTCCTGCCTCACCTACCTTTTGGGAGGTAGTAATTTATAATTTAATGTTTATAACCACAAAATATCAGATACTCTTCTATGTCACAGAGTTTCATTCTGCTGTGATGCAAACCCCTGAACTTTGCAGGATAATGAAGTGTCTACCAGGCTGGGTAACTCAGTGGTACAGCACACAAACATCTGATGTGAGACCTTAGTTATAATCACCAGCATTCAGCTTGAGTCTTGAATTCTTAACACTGGAACTGGAGGAGTACAGAATAAGACATTTATACAAATCATCATAGTAAACTCCTAGCCCTCAACTGTTTTCTGTGTCTCATATATTCTTAATGCTTGTTTCAGGGACATTCATCATCTCCAGAACAAATGATCTCTTATTTTCTTCCTTTTTTTGGTTTTTCGAGACAGGGTTTCTCTGTATTGCTTTGGAGGCTGTCCTGGAACTCTATCTGTAGACCAGGGTGGCCTGGAACTCACAGAGATCTCTTATTTTCAAGGGAAATCCCACTCAGTGTATAGGAAAACTTCCACAAGTGCCTGTCTGACACCAAGTATGATTTGGCTGAGAGGACCTAAAACCAAGTACCCTGGGGAGTCTCCAGGATCAAAAGAGGGAAACAGCCAGGTATGGTGGCTCCATGAGGCTGAGATTGGCAAGTGGCTGTGAGTTCAAGACTAGCCTGGGATACAAGTAAAACCATCTCATCTCACAAAAACAAACCAAACAAAAAACCAACAAAATTGTGTGTGTGTGTGTGTGTGTGTGTGTGTGTGTGTGTGTGTGTATAATATATTACATAAGGGAATGGAAAAATAGTCTTTGTTTATATTTTCCCTGTATACATATAGTTTACCTTTATAAATAAAGGTAGTTTAAAGGGATACCAATAATAACTACACCTCACTGTAATAAGTGCACACTGTAAAGTATAATGAATGCTTTTGAGGTTATGAGTTGAACTTAGATAACACAAGATTTTATATGTGGAACATGTTTTTAAGTGCCCAGTCTGGTTTTGTCTGATAATGGCTGTATCTGTATGTTTGTTTGTTTTACTTTTTTGTTTGTTTGTTTTTTGAGACAGGGTTTCTCTGTGTAGCTCTGGCTGAACTGGAACTTACTCTAGACCAGGGAGGCCTTGAACTCACAGAGATCCACCTGCCTCTGCCTCCCAAGTGCTTTAAAGAAAGACATGCGCCATAAGAAAAATGTACTTTAGTCTCTGGAAATATGGCTTTGTGGCTAAGAGCACTGGCTGAAAAAAAAAGAGCACTGACTCTTCTTCCAGAGGACCTAAGGTTCAATTCCCAGCAACTACATGGCAGCTTACAGTTGTCTGTAACTCCATTTCCAGGAGGTTAGACACCCCCACACAGCCAGACATAACATGTAGACAAAACACCAGTGCACAAAAAAATTAAATCTTAAAAGAGGTTCTAAGAACAAAATCCAGTCCTCTTATGACACAGTGATATGTAAGCTGATTTGTATAACAAAATGTACACTTAAAAAATCATTAAAATCCCATATCCTTACGAAGATATGCTAAACATGTGAGGGTTGACCTGGCACAACATTAGGTTGTAAGATGGCAAAAGGAAGATAACTATTAGTCATTTAAGGAAAAAGTTACTGTTTCCATAAAACTCAGGGATATTTCTTGGAGAATTTCCACAAGTATGTCATTCAACATGGAAGCTGCTTGGGAGCCTGAGGTAAGAGAATTGAAATACAGTCGTCTACCTGAGCTACCAAATAAACTGAAGTCTGGCCTGATTTAGCCAGACCCTGTGTCCACAGTTGGTGGGGGTGGGTCGCTTGAGATTCTGCTCTCTGAGGTCCTGCTGGCAGTTAAGGGTGGCTGGGGAAAGAGTGACAATTAGCAAGCACTGCAGGATGAACTGAGACACAGATTCCTTCCCCCAGTCACCTTTCAGGCCCACTTGTTTTTCTTCTTTTATGGTCTTTTTTTCTCATGGCCCTGGGGCCAAAATTCCATTAGAGCTTTTCAGCATGCAGTCAACCACTAGCACAAAGGTGCTGACCACGTTTTTTTTATTGACATGGGGTCTCCTTAGTCCAGTCTGGGCTTGAACTCAAGGCAATCCTCCTGCCTCAGCCTCTCTAGTGCCGGAATGCAAAGTGTGCGCTATTATCCTCACTTTAAGATGGCAACTTTCCAGGAGAATATGCATGATAAGGGCTTTTCAGGACATCCTATCTCCTAGTCTCACTGCACTTTACATTAGACAGAAACCTTTCACAGCTGAGAAATAGACTTAATCTCTCTCCCATTTTGCCAATTCCCAGTATAAATATTGTGGTTATCTTGTCCTGACTGTTCCACATTTGTGCTTTCCCCACAGTCATTTCTAGACCTTCAAAAAAGCAATAGTATTAGGGAAAATTGTTTTGAGATTTTTTACCTTCACTGACTTTTCAAAGGTGGGTTTCTGGGGTAGTACTCAGCACGTGGACTTTTTCCATCCAAGCTGTTTGCTGTTTTTGAAGTTACAATGCAGAAACATTACGTTGGCAACTGTAGTTTTCTTTGAGTTTGTCTCTCCTGCTGAGAATACCCTAAGATTAACCTTTTTGTTGTTTTTGAGTCTGTGCAGCCTAGCCTGGCCTCAAAGCATCCAGCCTCGGTCTCCAGAGTGCTGGAATGACAGGTATTTGCCAGTGTACTGGCTAAAATTGCCCCCCTACCCAGATTAAGTAAAAAGTCCTAATAGAGATTTTCCAAGGTTTATTGCTGGTAACTTAACCAAATTTCGAGCTTTTTTTCTTGCCAATAATCACATATAAAACTTGGTCTCAGCCGGGCGTTGGCACACACCTTTAATCCCAGCACTCGGGAGGCAGAGGCAGGTGGATCTCTGCGAGTTCGAGACCAGCCTGGTCTAAAGACCTAGTTCCAGGACAGCCTCCAAAGCCACAGAAAAACCCTGTCTCGAAAAACCAAAAACAAAAAAACAAAAACAAAAAAAAGTTGGTCTCATAGCTGGTTGGTGATGGCACTCATCTTTAATCCCAGCACTAAGGTGGCAGAGGCAGGTTAATCTCTGTGAGTTCGAGACCAGCCTGGTCTACAGAGTGAGTTCCAGGTCAGCTAGGGCTGTTACACAGAGAAACCCTTTCTGGAAAATAAACAAGAAAACCCCAAACAAACCAACCCCCCCCCCCCAAAACAAAAAACAAACTTTATCTCATGGGATGCACTAGCAGGGAAACAGACTTGCCATTTTTCCCTCTAAACTGAGAGTTGGTAAATGAAGGAAGGTGTCAGCTTTATTTGGTCCTCAAATTACTGAGTTAGTGACTGATAGTGTGTGAGGTTGGGCGGACCCTGAAATTTTGCTGGGTGGGGCTGTTATTTGGCCTTAGAATGTACCCCTACTCCCACCAGCCATCTTAGAAAATGCTCACGGTGGATAAGGTAACAGGATTTACAGCTGTTATTACTGAGACAATGAAAATGAGGGCCCTGTGGGATATTGTGTCACTGACAAAAGTGAGAAATGTGTTGCTCCACTGAGTCCAAAAAAACTTTTCCTGCCAGCTGAGCTTTCTCCACTCTCTGACCGTGGTGATGCTCGTCTGGAGCAGTAGGTATGCTTAGGTTTTCCTCTTATTTGGGGGTCACTCCCAGGGCCTTGCAACTAACTCCTCGGTCCATTTTCTCTTTCAAAGTTTCCCTTCCCTTACTTTTTTTCTTCCCACCCTCTTCTTTTCC